GGGTGGATCCAAAGGGACAGCCCACGGAGCAGGGCGATCAGTGACCGGCGAATCGAACAATGCTTGCCGATTAAATTGCTTTTCAAAATGCTCAGCCCAACGCTCCAGATGTTTTGACAAATTGTGGATAGGCTGTCCACTCTCATCACGTATAGTTTCACTAACACCAGGTCTCCTGCTGCCCGTTTCCCGTATCAGACGGAATAACTTACGATGGTTGCCAAGGGCAGCGGCCACTTCCATCTCTGACGCACGATGAGACCACCAAGATTCGCGGTCTCTCTTCAGGCTAGCACGGAGTTTTGCCCGGAGCTCTTTGCGAGTTTCATTGTGTTTGCTTCCAGCCGGGATTTGCCGGCGAGCATCTATAAGTTCCAGAGACTGCGAAGAGACCCAATGTCCATGTTGTCTATTAGACATACCACATGAGGATTTGCCTGCTGCTAGTAAGGTCTGGCGAACATGTGACCAGTGACCATCAATTGTCTCCTGTGAGCGCTTGCTCAACTCGCATGTTAGCGTACTTCGATACGCATTCAGAACAGCTGGTTTTGTCAGTTGGCTGGTGTCAATACGCTCACAGCGTCGTCGTGGGCGTCCGCCAAAACGCATCCGCATGTCAGCACATACAAGTGCATGATCGGTGTCCACACATGCGCTCCAAATCGAGCGACAATTCTGGATGCAGCCTCTCCAGCGGTAACTTATCGCAATGTGATCGATCTGCGTGCAAGGCTGGTTCTAGGTTGGTGGACGCCAAGTCACCCTTCGGCGGGTGCTGTGTCGGAAATTAGTGCTCGCAAGAAATAAGCAAGCATCTTCACACAAATGAAGTAACCGCTCACCGTTATCATTACGGGAGCCTACACCGTGTTGACCGCCCAGATGCAGTTCATCAGTGGACAACTTTCCAACTTGAGCGTTCAGATCCCCAGCCAGCACTACAGTGTCCGAGCTTCTTCTGTGGCGAAGGAGCTGGGTCAGTTGGCGGTAGAAGTCGTTCTTTACCGAATCATCGCTACAGTTTGTGGGCGCATAGGCAGCGATGATGAATAGACATCTATTAGTCCCGCGCGACTTCGAAGCTTTAAACGTGCCAGCCAATCGGACCGCACACATCCGGCTACTGATAGGAATCCAATCAACCAGAGCAGCTTCAGCCCGGGGACTCAGGGCAATACCTACACCGGCTTGGCCGGTGCTCGAAGCTGCATCGTCACCGGATAGGCGCAAGGAGATAATACTGCTTGCGTCCCCTGAAAGGGATCGCAGAGTGAGCACAGTGCTCGAGTTTTGCAGGCGAGTCTCTGATAAGCAGTAGATATCGATCGAGAGGGTCTCCAATGTTCGGGCAAGTGCTGCCTGTTGACCGATTTGTAGCAGTGTGCGTACATTGAGGCATGCCAATCTGAAGGAGGATCGAGGGCTCCAAATGGAAGCCGATGAACTGGATTGGATCGCTTGGTTGGACATGGGCTTGTCGACAGGAGAGGAGTGACGCTCCGCGTTCACGTGTGAGTTGAAATTAGAAGGTAAATGCCTAGCAAAGCATGTTGGGGGAGGGCCAAGAATCGGGGTGGGGGTTGAAAACTGGGGGGATATAAGTGAAGTTGGAATGGGACGGTAAGAGTGAAAAAGCGTAAGAGGGGGAATAAGAAGAAGGGAAGGCTTGAGCAGTAGCATCCAAACCCCTATCCACCCTGCTCGATGCAGCAGATAGAGCACCGTTTATTATCCTCTGCGGTGGCCAGAGCATCAAGAAATTGTTTGAAGAAAAGTTCATGGTATTGCGTGGGCGGGATACTGTCAGGTTGCCCAGGCCTAGACAGGAGAACGATTAGGGTTCTCAACCAAAGCCTTTGGTTCAAAAACCTGACCGCAAGGCAGCGGGTTTGGCGTTGGGCTACAAGGAGTCCATTTTAAGGAATAAGGTGCCACCCTCATTCCAACCCCCAACCTGGAGGACCAGGAGGCTGAGTTTGTCTGGCCTCTAACCATTGACCAATCTGGTATGAGTGACTCTGAAGGTGCAAAAGCACCACCCAGCGTAGCTCAATGGATCGCTGAGGCACACAAACCATCGCACCACGGTAAGGTCCAGCCTCATTGCGATGGAACCAAAGCAGAAGAAAAAAGTGAAGAAGCTGGGAACACGAACTGCGATAAACAAATATGGGAAACGACTTTTTTGGTTTCGCACACGCTGTTTTTTATTTTTTTGTTTTGTGCGTTTTTGTGTGCATCAAAGGGATGGAAAAATGGCAGAACAAAATTGACGCCACTGATGTCTCTTGCGGGCCATGACGTCTAATGTTTCCAACCACTGCGATTCATCATCTCGTGGTCCCTAACCTGGAGGACGGACTGGTCCGACTGCCGCCAAACTTGACGTTGCCTTCTTCATGCTCCTTCTCCACGTCATTGGCTGTCCACTGCGGCACTTTTTCCAATCGCTCCTTGGGAGTGCAAATAGCGCTCGACGTGGAAGGCGATGGGATGGCATTCGCAGAACGTGCTCGAGCCAACACATGCGATGTCGGAGAATAACATCCTGAAGACTGACACTATTCGCCCCAAGCACGCGGTCCCGCACCTCTGCGTTGCTTACGTGGTGTTGCCACCACACCCGAGGAATCCTTCGTAGACAGTGATTGTCGAAGACTGACAGCCGCTTCATATCTTCCGATCGATTAGACCAAGTCTCACAGCCGTACAAGAGTACTGCACGGACGGAAGCACTGTACACCCTGCCCTTGAGCTTGAGACTGACATCACGACGACGCCATAAGTGTCTCAGTTTGATGAACGCAAGGCGGCCCTTTGCAATCCGTTGTGAGACTTCATATCCAACACCACCACCAGCCGTGATGCAACTCACTAGATAAGTAAAGCAAGGGACTTGCTCCAGAACATGTCCAGCAATGGTGAGTGCGGGTTCACGCACCTGCCAGTTCTGGAGCAGCGTTTTACATTTTCCCGGAATGAAACATAAGCCGTACTTAGACGCCTCCATCACTAAGCGATCCAAAACGCTCTGGACGGTTTGTGGGTCGTCCCCCAGCAAGGCAATATCATCGGCGTAGTCCAAGTGCGTGACTCTGTCTCCAGGAAGGAGCGCAACGCCGCAGTTCTGAACACATTCCAGTGCTCTTTGGAGAACATCTTCGATGGCGAAATTGAAGAGGAAAGGTGAAATACAGCAACCTTGGCGAACACCGCTGGTCACATCAAATGAAGAAGAGTGCGTGCCGTAAGCCCTGACGGAGGAACTTGCGGGGACACAGTCGGAATACACCCCGCAGGTTTCAGGCATGTTTGGGCTAAGTTGATGATCTGTCGGAAGAACTGTAAAGCCTGCTGATTCATTGGGGTTGGCGGCCGTGTGGCTGCCGATAAACCTATATAAGGAGCTTGCTAGATATGGAGTTCAAATGACTGAATGTAGTTTGGGACAGTATTTGTAGCCCTCTCTCTCAGGCTTGTGATAGACGGTATGGTAGCAAACCTAGTCGGTTTACCTATTGAGTTATAAGTAGATGGATGGCTAAATGTTAGGTTCTTTTACGGTGTCAGTCGGCGGAGTCGAGCGCATTGGTTAAACAAACAATTCACTACAGAAGAATCAACAAAAAAGAGCTTCATAGGGCGAAGATAATCGGCTCGTCTTTGTGTTAACCTGATTGCTGATAATAATTACCCTTTCAAATCAGGATGTTCCGTAAGACTTGTTAATACTTTGTCTACTGGAAAAGTCTCAGGAACGTTAAACGCTATGAATGTGCTCTGAGGTACCGATTTCCTTAGCTTGGTCGAGTTAGCAGAATTATCTTTGTTTGTGTTGTTAAAGCTGTGGCGCGTGTCAACGGAGCTACGAATTTTCTTGCTATTCATTAGCTTCCAGGGTGTATGTGCTATGTGGCGCTGATGCTGATCATATTGTCTAGGCTTGTGCTATCTGTTTCAACGGTATGCTGAGAACCTGAGCGGCCTCTATGTCGATCTGTGGATAGTATCGGAGTTACCACTAATTCCGTCGGGGTAGTACTATTTGTGATATTATTAGATCTCTGGATGGGAGTGATATTGCTACTGAATATCGGTTATGTTAGTGGGCAGTCATCTAACTCAGCTGCGCAGAGGACATTCGTGTGGATATCCTCATCATATGCAGTTCGTAAGTCAGTTTGCGAGAGGCCAGGTGTGTTACTCTGTTTCTTTGCTACAGACTTATGTATCCGTTCAAGTTGTGTCTTCTTTGACTTTATAAAAATATTCTGAAGTTCAGTTGTCGTTTTTATAACTGATATATTCCGTATTAACAATTTCGCGCTCTCTGTGCTTTTGAATTTCAGTAGCACAGGGCACGTATGTTTTTAGCTCTTATTTAGGCGTACCGCAAGACACTTCCTTTTTAAGCTAGATGGTGTCTAGTAGCGTTTCAGCTTCTTCAGAGGTAGGCTCTCTTTGACATTAAGCACTATAGCATTACTTGCACGGATAATCCGTTCAGACACTTCAGTGGAAATCACGGAAACCAAACTACCAGCGATATGTAGGTGGTCGGATGACGGATTAGGAAGTGCGTTAGTTAAGCGGAAAAGTGAATCCATACTAGGAACCAGAGGCCTAACAGCAGCCAAGGTTTCTCGCAAAACTCTCACAGCTCTTTCAAGTTCCATGCAGGTATTCCCCTTCACGAGATTCAATAAAGCAAGAAGAAACATTTTAACAGAATTTACTGGATTCAGCAATTTCGCATATTCTCCTCAGCTGTTTACATACAATTAGTGGAATACACAGGCTACATATCAGGCAATCAAAGCGCGATGTTAACGGCAAACTATTCAGAACGCTTTGAATAGTTTGCCGTTAACATCGCACTGATTATTTGTTATACCTATCAGGCACTAATTGTATGTAAACAGTTGAGGAGAATACGCGAAATTGTTGAATTCAGTAAATTCTGTTAAAATGTTTTTTTCAAAGTTCATTTATTCTGTCCTACAATTTACGGCATTCAATGTTGTCTTGTGTAGTGCAGGGAGTTGGATTATTAAAGTTTATTGTGACCCGTGTGATATTGGTCAACGCAGCAGCTTGACCTGTAACACTTTCTTTCTCATGGAACGCGTGTTTACGACTGTCATGAGATAATACTGGTTTTCTCACACAAGATATGCGGGCGTTTAAGGAACAAAAATGTCAGATGAACGAGGGTAAAGTAGGATAGTACTGCAGGCGCGACGGTCACTTGTAATGCCTAATTTAACTTGACTCTAACCGCTGATCTCGCAATCAGAAACTGGGTGAGGTGGAACAATCTATGTACCGTGATGTGTGGTGTGACTATGGTCCACGTTTGGGTGACACCGTTGGAAAACACCTCTTAAATTTTGAAGATCCAATTACTTTTTTCCATATATTAGGGGAAGCATGATAAAATGCAAGTTAGGATGGCATTTAGTCATACAGAAACATGTTTTAAAGTAAGTAGGGGCATAATTGATGGTGGCCAAAGTCACCCTGGTGACTGGCCGCACAACATCAGCTCTTTTATAACTAATGTGATACCTACACTGGAGTGTTAATGGCCAGTAAAATGCAATACATGGCACTGTAGCTGCATAGTACAAACACAATCCAACTTCTCTCCCTTTTAATTTTGAAGTGTTAAATATAGTACTGGTGCGTACCACTATTATTGGTATGCAAAACAAACAAGAGGAAATAAAAATTGATAACTTTATTAAACTCGCCACAATACATTTGGTGGTAGCGAAAGAATAGCATGATTTATTTCCGTGAAAATAATCAAATATGTTCCTGTTCCTGACTTCTTCAGCGGATGTTCACTCGTCTTCACTGGACAGGTTCAGCTCTTCATCCGATGGAACATCTGACACATTTGCCACCTCCGCAATTTCTGACTCTGCCTTTCCTGCAACTTGCTCTGCTACAGCTTCTTGATCTTTAGGGACAACAATGCTCCCCCATGAACTACATCAGGCTTCTTCCTTCTTATCTTCCTGGCTGGCCCGTCATTAAATAAATAAATAAACGTTTTATTCCTCAGCAGTGCGAGGCACAGACCAATTGAGTGATCTTATCAACATGTACAACATGATCACATAACATAGTTAATTATTCGTCTTTTGATCAATGCTTCCCATATGGGTTTTTGAATTGATTAGCAGTTTGGAAAAAGTAGCAAGAAACTGGGAACAATAATAAATGTAGATTTCACGGAAACTTCAAGTAAATTAATACGGTCATCCATGGAACTGTCCCCAGGGGACTTGCTTCCATGCAGGGTATTTCCACGATGGGTTTCACCCACACTTCCATTCGCCAATTTGCTCTGTGTCTGTGTGGCAAGATAGTAAATAGGCCATCAGAACTGGGTATCAAATGTCTTTATTTAGGGCTGTTTTATGCCTACATTATGGGCGATGAAGCCTCAACCCGTTCTGTCATGCGGATCAATCAAGTATGGCTTTTTTTGTTTTAAGCCAGCGAGTCAGTAGCAATATGATTCGCATGAGTATACTTCTTTAATTTGGAAGCTGTAATCCGTCACCACAAGAGCTCAGTTCAGTCGTGACCAACGGTGAAACAAAGAAGATAAATTATGAGGAATTATAAAACATAATGATGAATACAAACGCTTGCCAATAAGCCAATCACAATTTGATGGAAAATCTTGGCGAGTGATGATGGTACAGAGACATCAGCTTGAAAGGCGTAGTGCATCTACGAACCAGTGCGTCAAAGGAGAAAACGGAATTGGTTAGACAGATTGATAGGAGTAAGATCGTTCTTAAATATATAAAGAATGCAACTATATATAGCTAAGCTTATATTATTGAAACAAATAGAGGGTATGGTAACTTTCAAATGTATCCAGGACCTTTCTCATAAAAATCATCTAGAGTCACCGTTTGACTTAGTGTCGACCAGATGTTTGCAACAGTCAGGTGAATATTAATCATGCGTCTGAATTGTGCATGGGTAGTGCAGTTTCTAACACTCGATGGAAGTTTGTTCCATATTAACGCATATTTTACGGAGAAGAAATTTAAGCGGACCTTTGTGCGAGACTTTGGTATTTTCACTGTGCGCTCGCTGTTTCTTAGTTCATAACGCATACGAGTCGGAAACTCGAGTTGTGGCTGAGCAGTGAAGCTTAACCCGAATAGTAAGCGGTATAGAAGGCACAGATTAAGTTGGAGTCTGCTAGCCATAGCGGCTCCAGATTTAGCGCCTCGCAACGCTCACGGTATGTCATAGTAGTAGGCATGTTCAAAAAACTTTTGTGAATGATCGTTGTATGTTTTCTAGTCATATAATATCCACTTTTCTCAGATTACTATGCACTATCGTACAATACTCAAGCTTCGGCCTAACACATATTTGAAAGGCTTGAAGCCTGGAATACCTCAAAATAAGAGTTCGACTTATATAGGTGATCACTTATCTGGCAGAAGCCTGTAAGAATTTTAACATGCTCTAAAAAATTAAACTAGTCAGAATATCTTAGACCAAGGTCTCGGACTGCGCCACACACAGGAATATGGGTATCGTTTAATGTAATGATGTTCAGAGAACGGCCACAGCCGTGGTACAGTAGATTACTTTTGTCAGTTGCAAAGTGCAACTTCCATGAGTTACTCCAGAGCTCCAATGCGGACAAGTCAGACTGAATATAGGCTAAGTTAGGACTACATTGCCCAGGGGCGGAACAATACACCATTGTAACATCATCAGCGAAAAGCAACGGCTTCCCACACGAGATTTCAACAAGAAGATCATTGAAATAGATTAAGAATAAAAGCGGACCTAGCACGCTACCTTAAATCACTCCACTAGAGATTGTAGTGGCTTCAGATGTATAGTTACCGATTTTGGCTATTTGCTTTCTAACCTCGAGGTAGTAAGTCAACCAATCTGGAAGCGAATTTGTGATACCATAGGACATAAGCTTTCGCAGCAATAAATTGTATGGGACACGGTCGAAAGTCTTTTGGATGTCAAGAAATATTACGATGATGGCACTTCCGGCATCTCTTGCTCTAGTCACATAATCAAGGTAATCTAACTGACAGGTAGTGCACGACCTACCTTTCAAAAACCGTGCTGATGTTTACTGTGAAGTCTCATAGAAATCAAATATTCTGTTATGCGTTTTTTAACTAACCTCTCCATGATTCTGGAGATAATAGATGTGTGATGGATTGGGCGGTAATTTTTTACATCTTGCATAGATCCGTTTCTGTGTCTTGGTATTTTAGTTGATTGTTTCCAGTGTATAGGATACTCCCCATTGAGAATGGAAAGTGTAAATGCATTAAGCAAAAACAGGGGGATGTCTGGACCTCCGTGCTTTACAAGTATTGGCGGGATGTTGTCAGGGCTGGTGAGCATGATGGCCGAACTAATCTGAGTTGGTGACATATGTCACTAAGTGTAAATTCAACAGTTTGGAGTGTATTTCTGCCTCTGCGTGTCACTTTGAGCATTAGTGCCATAAGTAGACATAAAGTAGTCATTGAATATCAAACATATGATTGCACGGTCGGTTATGGCAGTTCCATCAGAGTTTACAATGGTGTTTATACAACTTGGTTTTCTATTCTGCCTACGGTCCAAAAGTTTTGAGATGCAGCCTACCACATTGGCGCCCTTCAGTGCCATTACTTCCTCAGAGCATGGCATTTTGTGGTGGCCTTGGTATAACGCTGTAAGCAATCTGGTGTGGAGCATCAGCAAAGTATAATCGTTTGTTTTACTAAATTTTTCTTTATTTTATAAAGTTTAGTGGGTACCTTTTTTGAGATGCCTGCAGGTGCAGCAGTCCTTTTCAACTTCTTGTTACGTCCTGGAGCCACAACTTCAACACAAAGCTGAATGCGGTGGTAGAATTCATTACAAGCAATTTGTACATTCTGGGCTAAGAAGAATGGATCCCAATATATAGACCTTATAAGATCCGATAAAATTGATCAATTCACAGAAGAGGATGGGCGGTAATTGATCAGTGATTCCATCGGTTTAGAAAGAATTTGGAAAGAACAACCAACGATGTTATGATCACTACCCGGCAACCTGTCACTTGTGTATGTGGACACATACGAACATCCCATAGTAAATATTAGATCAAGTGTGTTACCAAGCCGTGTAGGTTCTGTGACGTGCTGTACCCATCCCAGTCGACCAAACGTAGACATAAAATGATTGTGTTTTTGTGATTTATTGTCAAGGGACCATTGGATTTCGGGTATATTAAAATCCCCAGCGCTTATTTTACTTGTGTATGAGAGGTCAGCAATAAAAGAAAATGTGCCCAACAAGTCATCGGTCACGGTGAGTGTAGACGATGGGGGTCTGTAAATACAACCTGCTAAGAGATTTCTTGCGAAGACATTTCAAATGTTCTGTAAACGTTTTAGATACAGAATTGTTGACATTCTCATGGAGTGATTCTTTTGGCAAACGGTTGAGTACAGGTGCTTTGTCAGAGGGATAAATGCCTGACTTTTTAAAGCCTGCTTTGAGGTTCTCTTCTGGGTTTGGCAGTTCAATCATGAGCTTTTTTAGCAGCCTTGGGAGTACATCTTTTGAAATCGTTCCCGCACTCTTTTAGTTTGCCAGTTTGTACTCTGTCAGAATGTACCTTCACTTAGCTTTCATCGGTCCAAAATAAGCAACATCCAATGGCTGCAGAAGATGTGTTGCATTTGGAGGAAGACACACAAATGAAATGTTATTTCTGTCACACTAAACCAATATTGCATTGCTGAAATATGATGACAAATTAGCACCTATTAAATGTTTCCTCCCTTCCAGACTCTTACAGTAGGGCAGAGCTATTGATCTGAACAAGTCGACGAAGCATATATGGTCAAACCAGCCAGATTTGGGTCGATTGAACCTGTGGGCTTCCTTTAATCTAAGTGCTCCATAGATGTTCAGATTTGTAGACAACATAAATTGGCAGAATTTTACCAGCAGTGGATCCTGCCAACATCAAGCTCGTGAATGTCTTAATTGAATTCATCACTCTTTCTGGATAGCGAACGACGATTGCGTCCAGGGTCATCAGTTTCATTCGTCTCGTCATACTTAATGACGTTTTCTGGAGGCACACCATCAAGGCTTTGTTGTAGCTCAGAGCAAATTTTCTCAATGCTTTCTTTGTTAACTTCTGCTCTCATGCGAGAAATGTTCTGACACATTCTATTTTTTATTTTGTCCTTGTACCTGTTCATAGAACCGTTGCACCAGTCCTCACCAGGTACATTGTCTTTAAACAACGGCACAGATATCTCCTCCTTGTCCAGAATCCTCGACACAGTCATTCGGAGATGCATTGTGTCAAATGAAAATCCCCAGTTGGATCAAGTACTCCATTAGGGAAGTCTCTAACTCAGCAGAGAGC